TGTCAATACTATCTAAAATATGGGAAACTCAAATTTCTGGTGCAAGAATTATACTGTTTTATAAACAGGAGTGGATAAAAGCTAAATCCTAAATGACAGTTGTTTGGAAACCAGTGAAGGTGTGAGATCATTTCAGTATGATTCAAGCTTCAGTGTTGGCAGCATTACTAGTTGCCCTCAGCTTACAGTTAGTTCAATATTTGTCTTTTTTTGCGAAGTGATCGCAAGAATGTGGTGTATAATTTATTGCATGGAAAAGAAGTTTTTGCAGGTTTTTTTTTGTGTAATAAGCTAATGGCATAAACTGGGAGTTTGCATTTTATCCTGCTTCCTTCTGGGGGTTTTACAATTCTAGCTTAGATAGCTGAGAACAGGGTAATGGTGCAATGAATGGGTGTGTTATTTGTGGAGTAGACCTGATCGTGTCTAGCAGGGACAAAATCTGGGCTACCACACCTACCAGTGTGAGTATATTGCCAGACCTCTGTTTCATTGCATGTCCCATTCTCAGCGATGTTTGCTCATTGCTACTAAAGCCTGAAGAAAGATTTATGTAATGCAGGGTAACAATATCTTGTTTCTTAGATGCACATCTAAAATCCACCGTGTATTAAGAGCTTTCCTGAATTGTATTTCCAGTAACTAGAAGAAAAGCATCTTTATCATTACCTCCTTACAAGTTGGTAAGTTACTCTTGTAGTAAGTAGTGTCTGCGAAGTTGAAAATATGCAAGAAGGTAAAGGTTTTGCAAAAAGAAAAATAATAATAATAATAAAAAAAAAGCTCATTGTCCTGCCAGGTATCATCTGATGCCTCACATGTCTGTGCAGCAGGGGGTCGGGGTCTGTACCTCCTTCCCATTTCTCCCCAAATAAACCACTGTGGATGCCACCTTTAACCTCTGACCTAGAGCAAATACCATGATGCTTTTCCCTTGGCACAACTTGGGCACAGCATAGATGCTGTGCTTCCTAGCTCTCCACACTGCACAATATATGCTGTGATGGTAGCAGGATGTATTTAAAAATAAATAAGCAAAGCAGCAACTACCCTTTGTATGCAGGCTGGCAGGCTCTGTCCTGAATCTGTGATTCATGCTGTCGATTCTTCTTACTGCTGCACTTTTGCAATTCCTAGTCTCTGACATGCTTTGCAGCCTTTTCAGGTGCCTGGTGCACCTTTTCTGTCAGCTGGACAAGCTGCTGATCCCCAGGGATCATATGGAACTGCAGAGTGGAGGGGACAGGTCCCAAAGCCATTCTAGGTGCCATCAGTGTGGTGCATTATATGTGCACCTATATAAGTGTTGTTCTAGCCGAAGCCCAGCACTCCAAGGAAGCCCCCAATGACTAGATTGAGGGTCTAGTGTGTCCCTTCCAAATTGGCTATTCTGTGACACTGTCCCCTTCAACTTTTCCTTGGACACTGAGCTGCTCTCCATGAAGAAGCTGGATATGTAAGCCTGTCCTCTCCAACACATCAGGGATGCAATGATTCCTTCGAGAGTGAGGCAGAAGTAGCCACACCCGGGACATGATGGGATACAGAGAATGGGTTAAGGAGAAAGTTTGGGGGTTGGAGAAAGGGAGGTGGAGGCTGCGTGCCTGAGCTCTGCAGGCTGCATGAAGGGTGTGTGGAGATGTCAGACAATTGAGTTAATACATCAGAGCCTGCCTCTGACAGTTTTGTTAATTCCAGTAACATGAAAGAGGAACAGAATTTCTGTGTGGCTGGAACACAGCACTGAGTTTGACTTTGGCAACAAGTCCAGAGCCAGCCCAAGAGCCAGGCAGAGTCACAGCTTCATCAGGAAGTTCAAATCTGGTGTGTCTGCTATGATCGTGCTCGGTGGGCCCCGGACTGCATGTGAAGTAGTTGCAAGTTCTCAGAAAGACTGCCATCTGAAAATCTAGCTGCTTTTATTCCCCTGCTGGGAAAATTTTTCCACCAATAGGCTTGCTTAATTATCCCCAAAAGAGAGAAGTTTTTAGCTTTCTTTATTCAAATAAAGGGAGAGTCTATAGGAGTTATTCCCCCTGTAGAGGCTTTCAAAGTATTGGGAGACACAGCCCCTTCTTTATGCCTTTACCCTGACTCTTGTGAACCCTTTCCCCATTGGCTAAGGTATCTGAGTACCTGAGGTTCACGTTCTTCTCAGCACACCTCAAACATGTCCCCCTCCCCCCAACCCCTTTATTTCCTTTGTTTATACATACTTTGTAATTTGGATTCAGACTTTGTTTTTTTGCCCAACTAGAGCTGTCTTTGTATCCTTTTTGACAAAGCCCATCAATCTTTGTGCTGTCAAGCAAACAAGATTTACACACAAGTGCTAAGCTAGCATCTCCAGCCACATACCTGCAAATAAGTTTGTTTAATCAGTTGTTCTGCACAAATCTTATTTTGCAAGGACATCTTCTCTCATCTCACCCCACAACTGTGCCAATACACGACAGTGTTCTGTGCATTCCTTACCTCTTCATTAGCAGTTCCAAAGAGATTTTTCAGCTTTCTCACTGCAAGGAAGAATGGTGTTGATGTTTCAGAACACTGTTCTTGTTGACAATAATAGCTTTCTGCTGAGCTGTAATAGCTTGTTGACAGCCTTATGACATGTACGTTGCCGAAGTAGTAACCTAGGACATACTTTTTGCACTTGTTATCATTAGATCTCATAAACCATTTTAGTGCCTGTTGTAACTTACTGCATTCATTTATTATTTTTCACTCTGATGAATATCTGATGTCATCATACTCATAGAATATCCTGAGTTGGAAGTGACCCACAAGGATCACTGAGTCAAACTCCTGGCTCCACACAGGACCAGCCAAAATTCAAACCCTATGTCTGACAGCATTGTCCAGATACTTCTCAAAATTTGGCAGCATGGAGCCATGATCACTGACTGCCCTGGGGAGCCTGTTGCATGCCCACCATCCTCTTCCAAAGAACCTTTTACCTAATATACAGTCTGGTTATTTTTCACTCTCTTTTCTATAAACACTATGCTCTCTTATATATACGTCATTTGTAGAATCTGGACACCATCTGATCTTCGTGACACGTTGCTACATTTCAAAAAGAACGTTTCATGAATAGTCTGTACTTGTGCAAATCTAAACAGATATGTCCATATAATGTGGAGCAAGTCCAGCAGTCCTGCATGTGTTGCTGCCCAATTGACATGCTGACCAGCCACAGAGTTCACTGAACTTCATTTTTTTCTCCTACACCTTGCATTAACATGGTTGATGGGGGTATCTTGATGTGCACTGTGCGCTACGCTATGTCCTGTATGAGTTTTGTTAACACATAAAGTTTTGATTTTGATCAGTCAGCACAAATACTAACCTTTGTTTGCCATTTCAACTGGCATTAGTTGTAAGAGTCTGCATTCAGTGGCACTTTTTCAATCAGGGTTAGTTATAAGTGTTCCAGTTGTAGACAAAGCCTGTGCCAGCTAATGCAGTAAGATGCTTGATGGAAGGGGGAAGGGGATGGAGGCAGGGAATAGGAGAAAGTAGAGGGGTTGTCAGTGGTGAAGCTATACTGTTAGCTACATCAGAGCAATGGTATAAATGAAAAGGTCTGTAGAAATAATTGGAGTACTCTTGTTTCCAATGCAAAGCAAGTAAGCAAGAAACCAAAGGGATATCGCAACCTTTTCAGGCAAGTGCACTTCCCTCCATTGTTCTCTATGTAAATGTGTATTTGTGTGGCAATATTCAGCACTAAGTTGGCACAGGAAAGAATCCTCACTGCAGAAGGACTAGTCATAGACTGCAAGGCTACAAAAATTAATGAGAAAAACATTATGAAATAAGACTTATTCACTATTTTACATTATCCATTCTATTTCCTTAAAAAATGTAGGATAAGAATAACCCTCCTTTTCAAAAGAACTAGAATTTGTGCTCACAGAAGAAATGTTTAGGATTTTTTTTTTTTTTTAATGTAGGCTGCGTGCTTTATTACTGCTCAATGCTGATTTCTGTTCTGTTACTGTAAATTTGGGGGAAATGTTAAATACAACATAATCAGCAGGGCCGGAGCAGTAATAATTGGAAACCATTAATAAAGAAAATGCTTTATGTTCCAGAACAGAACAAAAGCAAAGGACTGAAGCCAACTTGAGAGCATGAAGAGGAGGCAAATGCCTGACTGACAGTAGCACAGAAAAAAAACAGTTCATTGCCTAAACTAAGAAACATGATAAATTCAAACTTAGAATTCAGAGCGAAAGTAATTATGCATTCTTGAAAATAGGATTGCAGACTTGCTTTCTAGCTATCGTCTGTTAATACTGCTCTGGCGGGAGCAAAAAAACTTAAGATGTTAGAGGCCCTGAGTAAAGAATGTGATACTCAGCTGGTCTCTTCCAGCAGAGAATAACATGCCTGCGAAATATCTGTTGCCAAAATGTTTCTTGGTACATTAGGATGTACGTAACCACAAACTTGCAGGCATCTGAAATTAAGCAGTCCTTCCACTCAAACTGAAAGAGCTTTCATGGATAAATAACTGTTCTTCATAGATTAAAATAAAATAACTTGGAGGCTTTTTATTCATAATACTTTAATAAATAACCAACAACAACACAGCTGTTTCTATGTAAACATTAACAGCGGACCTGTCTCAATCTATCACGGAAAGCATGTTTTTACAAGATGTTACTTTAAAAGGAAGAAATGGGAGGAGCACTGACTACGATTGAAAGGTTTGAGATGTTTGTATTTTTCCTTTGGGTCTTTGTGGCTTATGGAATGGAACACACAACACGATGCAACGCTCCTGCTTGTTTTCCAGTTGGAATACTGAGGCTGCTGGAGGAATATCTGTGTTTGAATGCAGTTATTTCCTGTCTGGATTCTGATTAAGTCCTGTTACGTGGTGCTTCAACTCAGTCCAGAACTGAAGATTGTAAACGTGCTGCATCAGTTCCTCCTAAATGCCCTTTGGCACTCGGCAAATTTATGCCTTACTACTGGTCTTGTTGTTCATGGGGAAACAGAAATTCCAGGTTAGTGCTCTTGCATTTATTAACTTCTTCATCTGTCCAGAATTGTTTATTTTCTAAATGTTTACTTGTTTTGGTAGATATTGTGCTGTACATCATACTGATCTTTGTCCAAAGTACTTCAAAGAGAGGACAATATATTGTTTCAGAAGACACAGGTGAATACATTGAGTAAGTTGTTTCATTCTTTGCTTAGTATTTTATCTTTTTTTAAAAGCATGCTTAATTAAAATCAGATCTTAACACCAGGTCAGCCTCTTTTGTGTATGATGCATTATGTCAGAAATTATTAGAAAGGCCAAAGATATATAATCATGGTTAAGAAAACTAAGTTGATAATTATTCTATAATGAATAGAGTAATAGAAAATATAGAAAAGTCCACAGATTAACAACTAACAATTAACAATTAAAGGAAATAATACCTTCCCTCTGAAAATCTTTCTGCTTTGCCAAATCCAGCCACAGGAATAAATATATTCTTTGTGCAGCGTTAGTAACACGTCTCATCATGCCTTTTTAAGTTAACAAAGAGTTAGACAGCGTTCACTTGTTACTCTCTGAAAAAGTGATCTCATCTTCAATATAGAGGTTCTTCTGTTTTTTTGTTTGTTTGTTTTTAACCTTCCTTTCGTCTTATTCCTGCCACAACTTTCTAAGGAATAGAGAGCAGCTGGTAAGTAAGCTGTCTGCTTCTGCCTGCTAATGACCTCAGTTGGTGTTGTTTGAAGAAGCAGCATTCCAGGAGAGTCTGATCTTCCTTCTTGAGAGCTCTCGTTGATTTAGTATTCATGTAATACTGTAATAAATATAGCAGCTAAACACAAGGCTAATCCAAAAGCGAGAGGTTATTCGTATCATACGCCGTTCTGTGTGCCTATTTTGAAACAGCAGTTAGTCACTATTCAGCTACAATAACCTCTCTCCTAAAGGAAGAAAGCATATCACCTACTCTCTGGTAAGCTGCTATTTGGTCTTTTTCATGCCTTAGATTTGGACTAGAGTAGCTTCCTTCTGAAATATCCCCCATGACTTGATTTGGGGTGGGGGCAGAGAACAGGGGATGGAGTGGGAAAACCAGCCTCTGACCACATGACTGTGAATGGAGCAAGTTAAGCTTTAATTCATCACAACATTTTTATAAGCATAAAATTTAAAAACCAAAAGCAAAGCTGATGTTTCCTATTGAGTGGGATATTTTCTTTAGAGGAGATCAAATTGATTCATTTTTTTTCAAATTTTTATTTTATGCTATGCCTTCCTAAAGCATAATCCTGTTTTGTTTGCTTGACCTCCTCTCATTATGGAAATGTTTAACAGTATTATTTCCCATGAATGCTCCCTTTAAGATCTCTTGAAACCTGTGCTCAGCAACATTATTTTGAAGTTTAATTTACATGCTTTTGCCGTGTTGAAAACTGTTGAAATCTGATTGCATTCTCCAGCAAGTATTAACATAAAGAGATATCATTGTTGGTTACTGCTTTTATGTTATTTTTTTTATGTACTACACACAGGAAAAAGATATAGCCAGAGTGTTCTTGAAAAAGATACTGAGATTTCTCACAATTTTTAAAATGACTTTATACACATATATTGGCTTCTAATGCCAACAGAATATTCTAGCCTTTGTTTTAAAGTGTTGTAAGTGGCATCTGTAACATCATTTTCTAACTGATGGCATTTAGAAAACCTTTTTAATATTGTCTGGTTTGAATTTGCTGTTTGTTGATGTCATTGCTGACTTCTGTCATTAAGAAATTATTTGGCAGTAGACAACAATCAACGTAATTTAAAAAACATTGAATTGTTTGAAATAACATAAAGGATGTGACATTCTAAATGCGCTCAATTAACAAGATAGTCTGTTGGAAGGAGCTACGTTTGGTACCAGAGAGATCCTCTGAGTTACAAAATAGTTATTTACTATTTCTTGAACTAAAAGGTTGGAGTTTCAAAGCAGCCTAGGATAGATGCATTTTATTCCCGTGGGAAGTCTCTGTGAGCAGCTTTTAAGACATCACGTTTCTGTAACCCCAGACCTAGTATTGCTTAATCATTTGGCAAAGGTTAATTACCTTCTCAAGAAGGAAGCAATCATTCATTAGACTGAAGATTCCTGAAAGATGGGAACTGTTTGAGAAAACCCTGCCGTGACACACTAGCCCTGCACTAATTTATGGAAGAACTGTCTTTGATTCAGCTTTGGTTTTCAACTATTAGCAAGATGTTCTTTTCACTTTAACATATGACTTCTGGTGGTGGCTTCACAAAAAAAAAAAAAAAAAAAAAACACAAAGAAAACCATAACAGTAATCATCTTTTGAGAATTATCTGTATACAGTGGTGGTTTCCTTCTTTCCTTCTCAGCTGGCCATCTACAAGTCCCTTTCTCTTCCTATTATACAGAGAGGACTTTGTGCTACTTTTTTTTCAGAGAGGATGTGGAATCTTCTCTTTGGATATCTTTCCAAAGCCTCTTGGACATTGTCCTGATTTACCTGTTCTGGGTGCCCCTACTGGAGCAGATTGCTCCAGAGGTCTCTGCCAACCTCAGCCATCCTGGAGTTCTATGATTCTGTCCATATAGCTGGGGTGCAAAGACAACACTGCAAATAATTCAGGGTCATTATGCCTATCTATGTTCTCAAGGCCTTCTGCTTTTTCTCCGAGAAGAAAATTTTCTTCAGTTCATTGAGGAAGCCCCTGAGTAAGAATGGGACCTGTATGAGTGCAGGATTCTGGAGTTATGCAGTATAGGCTGTTTGCCAACACAAGGTACAGGAGACTGTTGGAAACTTTTTCACTTTGTGTGCTGGTACACCAGCATGTTGATACCTGTCTGAAAAGCTTTTGCAGAGGGAAGCAGACCTTTCTACATGTTAGAGTCTGTGGGAGCCCATCCAGCCAGGGCTTCCCCTCGTGCCAGAAAGCTTTTATGTACTGCTCTTCAAATGCAAGAATAATTAAAACATCTATTTCAGAGACGAAATATCACTTTGATGCCATAAGGTTTATTATTTCAACAAGGTTAGCCTTTACAAATTAGACCATGCTAAAGTGGAATGCTGGAATACAAAGAACCTGCCTTTTCCAATTACTGTGTACATTCTTTCTAATCTCAGGAAGACATTCTGATTCCCTGTCTCCTAAAAGATTACTGTAAAGCTTTGTTGCCTATTATAACAATTTTCCAACTGAAATTGGCCATTCACTGTAAGAATTTAGCTTGTTATACCTGTGATGTTCATCCCTAGTATGAAAGACCTCACAAACATTAGCTTGTAGTGGCTTTATCTTGGGTTGTGTATACCCTTGAAATGTGAGCTACAGGGATGCCCAAGTGACAATGAACCAGTCATGCTTGACCAGTGAGTCTTCTTAGCTTCAGCTTTTCTGTGCAACAGTTCAAAGGCAGAAGCAGTGATGATGGTCCCAAGATGCATAGGTAGGATGAAGAGAATGTGACACACAAGGGTGAAGTGACGTAACAGTATGACAGGGCAGAAAATAAGACTGTGGGTCAGGGTTGGTAGGAACAAAATGATGAGTTATAAATAAGGGAAAGTATTAGAGCATGGTAGTAGACCACTGCATCTCCTCAAAATGCTTTTATCTTTATCTGGGCTGTAACAGCAGTAAATTCTTTGTAACAGCAGATTGCCATTATACAGGAAGTTGTGACAGAAGATAGTCTCCTAGTTTTTCCAATTTTCTTAATATTGTGAAGGCTTTGATGAAAACTGATGAGACCTCAGTAAAACTTTATTTAAGGAAGACACAGTGTCGAATAAAGAAAAAAATAATAACTTCCAGATTGTAACCACACTGAATAAGAGCAGTGCTCTATCAAAGCTATCAGGAGTACTGAGACAGAGGATGGCAAGAGCAAAGTTGCCTACAAGTTTTTGTCCTCAGGAAGTTACTTTCTTGCAGAACTTCAGCTAATATAAATTGGGAGTACAGTAGATTTACACCTAGTTAATTATGGAAATTAAATCTCTTATCCTTTGACTCTCAAGACTGTACCCATGTATGGGTATTAATTTAGTGTCTGGTTAAAAGTTTTGTTGATATGGCATTTCTTAAAGAACAGAAGTTTGAACTCTTTCTTCATCTAATGTATTGCCTTTCAAAGTGTTTTTATCCACAGTCACTTATTTATGAAAGAAATATTTCTCTACAGCTTTGGTTACACATTTTCAGGGATCTGAAATAATCTTTTGCTAACACAAGAGGGAAGAAGATAAATATGCAAGACATTGTTACAAAAAAATTTAATGTTTAACTAAACATAAAAATAATTTAATATTAAACTGAACATCAAAGTTCAGGTTTTATATCATGTTTGCAAGTTACATGCACTAGCAACAGTTTATCAATTGCACTGTGTGTACTGCTTTACTGGAAAATGATTTGATCTCATTTATCAATGAGATTTCATTTCAGGGAAGCAGATAGCCTCTGGTTTTGATCATCTATTTGCATAGCTCCGTGCTCGTATCATCTAAGGAACAACTGCACTTTAAATTCTTATTCCCATTTGTGAATTTTGGCTCTGAATTATCTGAAAGAAAAAGGAGGGGGAAAAAAAACAAAGAACCCTAGATCTGGGGCAAAAATCACAAGTTGATTTTAAACTAACTCTGCTGCCAAAATAGCTGATCTGGGGAGTTAAATGCTGAAATTCTGTGTGCTGCTGTCTCAGTGGGGGTATTCAAGCAGCTGCCGTCATGGAAGGGGTTCCTGCCACATCGCATATAGCCATAGGGAGCAGAAATGTGACGGGGAAAATGACTTATTTTCCTATTTCTTTTCACACCATCAGAAAATGTGTGTCAGTGGTAAGAAACTGGGAGTGCTTATTAGAAATTTTAAAGGAGATCCTTGACTGATGGATTGGATATTCAAAATTCCTCCAATTGACCAAGATGGTATTTTTCATTCTTCAAGGGACAAAGTGAAAAGTAAAAGGAGTCACCCATGTGTGAAGAGAAGGTTAGCATAAGGTGGGATGATCAGTCAAGTTTGAACACTTATAGCATAAACTAATATTTAACTTTATTCCAGTGTTCCTTCACTGCTTCTGTGGTTAGAGAAGTGCTTTTGGGATGAAAAAAAGCTCTTGATTTTTAAAGACATCTTGATATCTTTTAATCTTTAATCCACTTCAGATCTCATTAGTTACTTGACCAACCGGGAGACTGAGTTGCACCAAAAAAAGTGATAAACGTCATCATGTATTATTCAGAGGTTCTAAAACAGCCGTACTTTACAAAGGAAATGATGCATCTCAGGGAGCCATCAATCCAAAATTTAACAACATACATTTGGGATCAAATGTTTTCAGCCAGCATTGTGCAGACAAGTTTTGTTCAACACACAAAAAAACTTTGCTTTATCTCTTAGGATCTTTTTTGTTTTCTTTGGAAGCTCTTTGGAGTGGGTGGATGGAGGGAGAGGAAGGAGAAATGCATTTCTCTTGAGATAGGAACCAAAAAAGTAATTGTCTAAGCAGGCATTGGCATGAGTAAGCTTGACCCAAGGATAGGTGTAGTCAAGAGACATCTCTGCATTTGAGGCTGCTATATTTTCTTTTGCTGCCCCTTGCCATCTCAGCCTCAAGCAGTGATGTGTACACAGGGTTGATTTATCTGTGTGATCACACAGCTGCATTGTTTTTCCCAGTTCCTGTTGCACTTGGATCTTGCCCTGCGAGTGCTGCTGTTGGACTCCCTTGTATGAAAATGTTTTAGGAACAGGGTGTTTAAAACACAATCCTTATGCATGCGAGTGGCTTTCATCCAAAATTTAAGATGCTTTTATTCTCTGTAGCCATAATTTAATCTCTTGGAACAGCGTGTTTCCAGGGGAAGAGAGTCTCTTTCTTCCCTGAGATCACTTTAGCAACAGAATGTGGATTTACAATTTAAGATAAATAACAAAAGTGAAGTCAGGGTTCAATTTTACGAATGTGAAATAAATAAAGGAAATTTCAGGATTGATAACCAAGGACAGTGATCTCTCATTAACTATTATAAAGGTACACAGAGTGTATGAGTGTAAGAGTGAAAGGTAGGATTATCCACTTCGACGTGGTTCCGTTCTTTGTACAATTTGTACACTAATTATCTTACTCATTTCTTTAATGTTACATGCTTTATAAAAGATGTTGTCTCCTCTTGTTTTCAGGTAATACTATTTGAAGATGCCAACGTCCTGGCAAATATGCTGCAAGAAAAAATCCAAATCTAAGAATGGAAATGCTGAAATGGATGATATGGCAGACACAAGTGAAAAAATGCAGATGAAAAAAGAAATCACGTTACTAAATGGAGTTTCTTTAATTGTAGGAAATATGATTGGCTCTGGGATATTTGTATCTCCCAGAGGTGTTTTAATGTACAGTACTTCCTATGGACTCTCTCTTATCATCTGGGCTCTTGGCGGAATGTTTTCACTGTTTGGAGCTTTATGTTATGCTGAGTTGGGAACATCCATTGTCAAATCTGGAGCTAGTTATGCCTACATACTGGAAGCTTTTGGTGCCTTTGTGGCCTTCATTAGACTGTGGTCTTCTTTGCTAATTATTGAACCAACAACTCAGGCAGTGATAGCAATCACATTTGCTAACTATATTGTTCAGCCGATTTTTCCTCATTGTGAGCCACCATACGATGCAGTCAGATTGATTGCAGCTGCTTGTATTTGTAAGTAAAATTCTGATTATTAGAAATCCATAACTATGATTGTAGGTGCCCAGACAAGTTTTTATTCCTTCACCTGCTGTGAAAATACTTATTTCCTCCCTTGAATATGTTCTTAGGAATTCATATGCTTTTGTTCAGAGGTATTTTATTTAAGGCTGAGATTATTAGAGGGGGAAGGATAATTCCATCAGTTTAGGGAAGCTGTGCCTGCTGAATTGAAGTATCTTGATGAATCTTGGGTCCAGTTTGCTGTTGAAATTTGGCCTGTATCCTCTTCCCTGTTTCTTGCAAATATTGTAGAATAAATAAAGATTGGAAAGCTTATATGAAATTAAAATTACAGTGACCAGTGATAGGACTTAAAGGAAAGGCATGGAGTTATGGCAGGGAGCGTCAGGTTGGATATTAGGAAAATGGTAATCTCTGAAAGGGTGGTTGGACCCCAGGCTTGCCAGGACAGTGGTCACAGCCCCAAGCTGTCAGAGTTCAAGAAGTATTTGGACAATGCTATTAGACATAAAGTTTCATTTTGGGTGATCCTTTGTGGAGCCCAGGGTTGGACTCAATGTAGATCTCTTGCTGCTGGGGATGTTCCGTGGTTCTTTCATTCTAGTATGAGTTTTGTCCCTCAAAAAATTGGGTAGTAATCACATACTCCTCAGAGTTGACTTTATTGAACACAGGGATAAGCATTATAACTCCAGTAAATAATCTTCACTCAAACATTTTTTCCAGAAAATTTTGTCAAGATGGGTCATGTTCCTTTCAGGCTATGCTATAGTGTGATCTTTTAGAAACAAATTGTATAGCTTAACAAAATCTTCCAGTAGGATGAGTATTTTTAAGTTATTGTAATGTACACTGACAATTCTGAAAAGCTGTTCTCTCTGTAGCTCTGATTCCTGCCAGCATGCTACAGAGGAAGTTCACTTCTGAAGAGGGCTCAGTGATGTAACTGGAGGCCATTATGACCACTCCAACCAGTGGTCCAGTAAAAAAAACAACAAACCCTATTCCAAAAGGCTTTATCAGCTGAAAGCTTCCACTTGCACAGAGAAGCAGTTGTTTGTTAGAGCAAAATTAATTTTCCTAGTTTTCTAGATGCATTTCATGAAGTCCTAATGCTTGGGAGCAGCAGTCTTCAATTACTGATTTTCATTAAGACTTTGGTTTTGTAGTTATTCTTGCTGTAGTCCTTATGTGAATCATCTGTGGTGTGCTCTGGTACCTCTGATTTCTATGAACTGATGTGCAAGGTGTGGCTGGCATCTGCTGCTTTCTCATACAGAAAATTAGCTGCTTCTGACCTGGTTTATGATCAGCACTTTAAGTACCAGCTCAGATTGCTGGGAAAATTACAGTCTACTATGATAACTGTAGTAAGCAACTACTGGTATGTAGTAAGCAATTTGGCAGTCAGATAGCAAGCTTACTACTAGCTTGAAAAATTTGACAAGGTTAAGGAGCAATGGATTTAATTGATGCTTCACCAACACAGTGCAGAGAACGTATCCACATATTTAGTAGTATTTACCAGGAATCCCATGGCAAAATGCTGTAGCCTTTAACTACATATAATACATCTCATTTTCTGTACATGTGCAATTATCATATCCTTTGCACTATTTCAAATAGCCCTTTATAGCACTGCAAGTAACTCATAAATGTTCAGTATTGAAAATTTCAGTCAATACTTGTATCATTTTTAAGAAATACTGCTAGAATTCTACCACTTACTGATACATACTATTGAACTGTTTTTTCATACCAGAACAAAACCAAGTCCTGTCCTTATTGCACAATATTGGTATATTAACAGTGGGGACAAATCAGGTCCTGATTCTGTAAATAGTTAGATGCGTAATTACTTTCACAGCTGGCAGGGCACCCAGACAAATATGTAGAGCTGCTCATGACAAAGAAGACAGAAGTTCTATGAATGTCTGCAATTGGATGCTAATTTCCTCACCAGATGGTTTTCATTTTAAGCAGTTACAAAATTCTTTTTCCTTCTTTTGAAACTGTAGTGCAAATGATAGGCAGGTCAGAGAAGCAGAAAAATAGAGCAGAAGACTACTAGAGAAGAAATAGCCCACACTGTTCAGTGCTTGAGGGTCCTACAAAGAGCATTCAAACTCCTTGGTGCAGGAGCTGTCCTTACTCTGTATGTAGACAAGGGCTTTAGTTGGTGAGGAGAATTTCAATGCAAACAAAGAATACAAAGAAATTATATTTTCTGCAAGTGCACAACTTGCAAGTGACACTGTTGACTCTAAGGAAATTTATAGCTTTAAAGATTATTTTGAAAGAGCAGGAGTCATCCTAGAATTCAAAATCTAGTGTTTTCTTCATGCCTTCATTGTATCCTCCAGAGTAAATCAGGTATTTAATTCATCTGATTATATCTAGGTGGTCCTGAAATATTGAAAATTGATTCTGTTGTATTGCTTGGCAGAGGGGTGGTATCTGGAAGAATATATTTGAAATATGTGATGTCAAACATACAGCGGTCCTCCCATGCATGTCATTTTTCTCTTCAGGTTCCTTAACGTTTATTAATTGCGTCAATGTGAAGTGGGGAACTCGTGTGCAAGATATTTTCACATATGCAAAACTTATGGCCCTTGTCGTGGTGATATCTGTTGGCCTTTACAAAATTGGTAAAGGTAAGAATATTTTCTGCTTACTTGCATTCTTAAAAATGAAGTGCATATTCATTTCAAATTCCATGCAGGAAGATTGGACTCCATTAGGCTTGCGCATGAAGTATTATTTCTTCTGAAAAAGTTATCTGTCACAGGAAGATTAGGGGAATTTTATGGCTTACTAAGCACTGGTTGTTTAATTATTCCTTCGTTCTTGCTGCGGCAGACCAACACACATCAAGTTCTGCATTGCTCAGGCTGTGTAGGAGATAGCAGTTGAATTCATAGAATCATAGAATCATAGAGTGGCCTGGGTTGACAAGGAGGGGGAATGACTGTTAACATCAGTTTGATGATAGATTAGAGTTAGTCCCAGTGTCTCTGGCACATGCTAGTAAAAATTAATAGCATGTTGTTGCAATTAAGAACATGAAGAAGCAAGATGTTTCACCTTCTTCTGGGACTAAACAACATAGCAGAAATCCAGGGAAGAAGGAACTTGTTCTTCAGCTGCGTGAAAGACATGCTGGCAGTGGTGATAGAGCTTGCTAATTGCTAGAAACAGGAGACAACACTGTAACACTGCACTCCTGTGATTCACTGTGGCATGGTAAGGCATCACAGGATGGATGAGCCATTTTTTATAAACAGTAACCAGACTGAACTGTATATACCCAAAAGCTAGATACTAATTTCCTCCAGGGCTGCTTTTCCAACTCTAGCTCTGTCACTTAATAATTAAGGTTGCTTTTCTTTTTCGTTTTCATTTGCCATTAAATCCCTAAATAGCCATTGTGACTTTATTCAGTAAAATTTCACTCTTCAGTTTAGGAACTATATTTCTATTTTCTTTAGAAACTAATCTGTAAAACCAACTGTGAGAGCTTGCTTTCCCACGTTTTCTGGTGTTCACCTTTCCTTGGCTCCAGTTCTAATACATCAACTGTTTTTATACCATAAAATCTTTAAGGGAGCTTTTTTTGTTTAACCATATCAGTGTATGTCATTTGTCACTGATTTGATCGAATTTAAACAAATCTGAACAAATGAACACAGTCCTAAGGTTGGTTTATTTGCATTGTTACCTGGGTCAGGAGGACAAAGGCAAAGAGGAAGCCTTCTTGCAATGGATGTAAAATGCTGAGGGTTTTTACTGGTGGCAAAGGTCTCATCTCTGATTTATCTGAATAGAACCAAGTGATTAAATACAGAAAGGGCTGGGAGGAAGAATGATTGAGACATCTGGAGAAAGTTGTGAGCAGGTCAGTGCACTCTTTTAAATGCAGCAGCTGTGTGAGAAGAACAGCTCTCATATTTTAGCCCTGCCATGGTCCTGATGTGCTGACATACGCCACTTCTTTTAAAACACTGTGAATCTATCTGATTTTGAGTAGGCACTCTCTAGTGAGAAAGCTTTTCTTGATCCTGTAGGATATTTTCCTTGTTTTTTATTTTTTCCTACAATTTTCTTCATCTGTGTCCTCTAAGCGTGAGTTGATCTTGCAGCTTCACCTTCCCAAATTCTAGCAGTGTATGAAGAAAATGATTTCTTTATGAATGTGAAAGACTGGTTTTTACTGTTCTTAAAAGACTGAATTTCTTTTGCGGCAGCATTGTATTTCTTAGTGTAACCACAAGATGAAATTGCTTGATTTCATAGCAAATGCTTTACTTTCTTCCCTAATAGAGGTTTCAGTCTGTTTCTGTTTTCCTTAATACCTAAACCCACTTCCATTTATGTTAGATAGTTTGCTTTCCTTCTGCAAATTCAAGTAAGCCTTTCTTCCTCTTTTCAGGGCTGCAGAGAAGGCCTACACAGTTTCATGAGCAGTTCTTCTCTTTTGCAGTTTTCTGCAGTTTCTTGTCTCATCTGATTGAGCTAAACTAGAGAATTTAGAAAGGAAATATTTTGTGTCTTCTCTTAATTCTGGTGAACGACTGTCCCATTGGGATGTGAGATGGGGTCTTGAGAATTTCTCACTCCATTGGCCACCAGTCCATTTGGTGACAATATGGATGGGAGAGGATGGAGTATGAGACAGATTCAGAAATTGAAATTGGGTTTCTCAACTGTGTCTCCCTGGCTCATAGCCCTCAGCACTTCATGCTCTCTTGGTAGGCTAGGGATTGGTGCCAGGGAATGAGGAAGCTGTGAGGACTGCATTTCCCAAGTGATGTCCAAATAGCAAACACGGGAAAATGTGCTGTCAGTGTAACTGTCTGTATGATAGCTGATTGGAACTCAAATTGGAACAATTTGTCAAGTGAAATTTAACTTTTAAGAGTAGTGATGAAACCTGGATTAAATAGTTTTTATTTTGAGGGGGAGAGATTTCGTGCAGAGACATTTCATGCAGTGCCCTGTGTCTTAATTGTTGACATGTAACAGGTAATTGTACCTGCCATTTATACAGGAGAAACAGAAAATCTCAGAGCTCCCTTTAAGGGCTCAGCAACAGACCCGGGAATGATTGCACTGGCTCTGTACTCAGCCCTCTTTTCCTACGCGGGGTGGGACACCCTGAATTATGTCACCGAGGAGATGAAGAACCCTGAGAGGTAAATGCACATTCTGCATTCAAAGCACTGGAAAGTGTCCTGGCACGGCAGGACAAGCTGCTTTCTGATTAGAAATTAGTCTAACCATTTTCTCTACAAAAACACTTATTTCCAAAAGAACTAGTAAGTAAGAACTCCTCTCTCACCAATTGTATCACATTAATAATTTTCCTCCAGATATGTGTTTTATACCTTACACTTTGGACCAGACTTTTTAAAAGGAGAAGAACAAATCCCTGCTGAAAGTGTGAGTCCACCTAAGCTTTCTAAAATTCCCTACTTCTTCTCAGTCAGACAAAACAATTATTTTACTTTCCGTGACTGCTTTTGCCACCAAGAGTCAGACTGTCGAATTCATGACTGTTTTATTTTGTGGTCTTCAGTGTTACTATTTATGGACAAAATGTTTCATTTTGCTGAAGGCAAAAAGTTAAATGAGAAATAAAAAAAGTCCACAGTAGTGCTGGATGTTCCATCCCCTCCTCTTTGTAGGGATGTCCACCCTGTGGGAGTGGTGTGCTTCAACTGCTCAGATGATACAAGCGCACCTTGTCTTGCGACATGCACAGTTTATCAATCAGGAAAAATGCTACAGTCAAGAAACACCTAAGCATGCATTTAAAGTTGATTGAGTGCTCTCTTAAACTGCTTTATGTAAAAGGCAATTTTTAAAGTGTTCAGGTAAAATGTACAATTTTGCCCTAAAATGTGACGGAGCCACAAGAAGCCAACTAAGCTGCTTATGGAATTCTTTCACATGTGGCTGAACTTTATTTTGTAACCCTGTGATTACAAAATTTTGGATTACAAAAAGTGATGGATGTATCCATTTGCAAGTGTTTGAATTTAGGGACAGTATTTTACTTAAATCTGCAGAACATGAAATAATTTTGTCATTTTCCTTTTTCAGGAATTTACCTCTTTCTATTGCAATTTCCATGCCCATTGTGACTATTATTTACTTGCTGACTAATATAGCATACTACGTAGTGCTGGATATGTCAGCACTCCTCACAAGTGATGCAGTGGCTGTGGTAAGTTACATAAAATGACAAAACCAAAAGTTACTGCATGGAAGTAGTTTCTAAATTCTCCTACTGTGGAAGAATCTCAGGGAGCATACTTATTGGCAAAAAAATAGAAATATTTCTGTGCTGAAGATGTTTGCTCTGTTTTAAACCTTGTTTTTGTGTGAGAGTACCGCTGTGTTAGAAGGTGCATTTAAAGTTCATACCCAATAATTCTGCTCTTGTATAATCTTCTTATATAATCTGTAAATCCTTCACCTCACAGTACTTCACTATAGAAGATGTTTTCATTAGAGCGAGACAGAGAAACAGCTACAGAAAATCTGGGATTTAGGAACTATGTGGCGTTTTTTTCTGTCATTTTAATGTAGACTGGGTGATTTTTAGTACTGTAGGTCTGAAGCAATATTTTCAACACAAAAATATGGCATGACATGCTTTTTTAAAATTCTGTCAACATGTTCTACAAAAGTACAATCGTAAATAACAGACTAATACAGTCAGGATTTGTTAGAATACATTATTAAAAATAAATTTCCATCTATTATTTCATTGATTTGATTTCAGCTTAATTTTTAATTTTTTTTAATGCGTCTGTCATTTTTATTTTTATTTTTATTTTTATTTTTATTTTTATTTTTATTTTTATTTTTATTTTTATTTTTATTTTTATTTTTATTTTTATTTTT